GTCCGATTCGGCTGAAATTTCGACAGTAGCCGTCTACGAGAATGTACTACACGATAGTAAATTTCTCTTGCGATAGTGGCGCCATCTGGCGGTGAGGCTAAGTACTTATCGGACCGCCCTCGTACACTGTCAACAACTGACCAGATTGAAGCAGGCGATCGACGAGAAGCGGCCAGAATTGGCCAATAGGAAGGGTGTTGAGTTCCATCAAGACAATGCTAGGCCGCACACATCTTTGACGACGCGCCAGAAGCTCCGAGAGCTTGGATGGGAAGTTATATCGCATCCGCCGTATAGCCCAGACCTGGCTCCAAGCGATTATCACCTTTTTAAGCATTTGCAAAATTTTCTTGATGGTACAAAACTGGCCTCAAGAGAGGCTTGTGAAAATGAGCTGGTTAAGTTTTTTACTAATAGGGACGAGGACTTCTTCAATCGCGGAATTATGAAATTGCCTTCAAAATAGACAAAAGTTATCAAACAAAACGGCGCATATTTGATCTAAATCTGATAATCCTAACTTTGTTAATTTCATCGTCGCAATAAAGAGAAAAAACGCTCAGAACTTTTTACTTCACCCAATATATCATTGATACATAAAAAATGATTTCAATAAAAAAACATTTTTATTCGAAATATATGCACAGTAATAATTTAATAAAATAAAATTTAAAATTAAATTTTTCACAAATAAATTATTAAGCTTTTCTTAAATTAACTATATTTTTTTCTTATACAGAATATCTTCAACACTAAAAAGCATGCGTGTAATGATACTGAATAATTTTCTCCAAATATAGTGAAGATCATTTCAAAATAAACAAAGTTAGTACAGTTGAGCCTCTTTCAAACTGTATTTTAATAATTACTAACATAAAATGTTTTGTTTCATAATTTCATACATCTTATATATAATTACAAACATTTAATTAAATATTTGTGAAAAAAATTATCCATAATGTTATTGCGTGTTCACAGTACAATATAATTGAATTAGATTCATCTTCTTTAACCCATTTACATCACAACTCTAGATATATAACTAACTTCAGAAATTAGAGACATTCAACTGACAGTCAGCTTGTATTATCGCATATCACTTCACATTGTTAATTCTTTATCTTTGATTTTACTTAGAAATTATGTGTAATAATCAAAATAAAAGATAGTATTATATATTTTTATAGTAAACTTAAAATAGTTACTAAACTTTATTAATTAGTATAATTTTTAAAATGATCAACACATAATGGTATATCACAAATATCACATTTAAAAATTGTTTCCCTTCGGAGTGACTCAGATAAGCATACAATGCATCCCTTTGATGTTCTTCCTTTTGCTACTGTTGGAGGTATTCGTGTGGGGAAATGCTGGCCAGTGTATCTTGTTATTGAATTATTGAAAGATGATGTCTCTCTTATCCTTTTGTTTTCTATATATTTTACAATAATTTCTTCCACTAATATTTGTTTATAAACATGAAAAGCTCGATCCTTTTTACTGTTTTTGAAGATAATATAACTATTCAATAACATCATGTCCACAGAATAAAAAAATATTTTTTTATATATTTTCTTATATCTCCACATGGTATGAAATTTATTCAACATTTGATTGCTTATATTAATCCTATTCATATTTTTGTTATAGTCTATTAGTGCTGATAGTTTTAAAATCTTTTCCCCAGTATATTAGTTTACTTTTTCCGTCTTAGCTAAATCTAAACAATGCATTGTTGTTAATAAAACCACATCCTTTTTATCTTTCCTCTATGACAGCCATATCTTCTGATGAAAATATAACAGCTTCTCCCTTTTCTAATTGGAGAGATTTTAGCTCCTGAGGTATTCCTTTTCTATTTATTCTCACTGTCCCGCAAACATTTGTTTGCATATTATATAATTCTTGATATAAAATTGGTGAACTATACCAATTATCTATAAACAGGCAGTATCCTTGATGCAATAGTCCACTCTTCCTCAACAAATGTATTATGTCGTGCTAGCAAATCCAGAATCAGTTTTATCCTTTCCAATGTATATTTTGAAATTATGTATATATCTCGTCTCAGAATCACATAATTTACAAAACTTGATCCTAAATCTGGCTCATTTTGTTCGAATAAATTGTATATAATGTAAATAGCTTTTACACTGCATTAACGATTCATCAACGGAAATATTCTCTTGGGATTTATACATACTTTTGGGATTATACATATGTATGTATGAAATTTTTGGTAATTATATCAGAAACTTCTCTAATTCTTATCAATGGATTGTTTGAATTATCATTGTTAAAATGTAGATTTGCGGCAATAGGAATCTGTTGCGAGGCATAATATGCTTGAAATATGGGGCCTCTATGCTTCCATCTTTACTCCAATAGTACTTTTTCCAATACAACTTTGTATAGTAGGCTTTTGTACTAAACTCATTAAAATATTCAATGCAATAAATATTTTCAGTTCATTCTCCGTAACTTGTACAAAGTTTGTGTCTTTGGCTCCATATCTGTTGGTTTCTAATATTATTTTTTTAACTAATTCTTCGTTGAAAAATAATTCAAAAACTTTTCTCCTGGACATATCTTCCGTGTTGACGGTTACACCACTTACGGCTGAAAAATTGTGTATTTCCGGCGTACGGTTTTGTTGTTTTCAAAAGAAATCTCTATTTACAAAACTGCCGTGCTGATCATCTTCGCTGGTATCACTGGGTGAAATAGTACGGGCACGTTTTCGAGTTTTTCGTATTTCTATGCTTGAATTCGAATCGTAAAAGTGGTCGTCATCCATTAGGCTTACTAATTTTATTTTGAGTTATAAAATTAGGTGGTTTTTAAAATTTGAATTTAGATTAGTACTACCTACTGTTAACAACAGCCAGAAAGGTCTGAATAATAATTAAAAAAGTAAAATTTGCTGATAATGCACTAAAAGCTTATTTACTGCTCAGAAGACGCTCACGGACTGTTTCAGATTGGTGAAAAGTGAACGTCGTCGTAAGCATATTATTATTCCGCGGTTGGTGATAAGTGAGCGTCGTGGCTCGCGGAATATTCCGCGGTTGATGATAAGTAACAATTATTACGTGCAGATTATTCCGCTTGCGGATGCAAATGGGTTAATAATACATTATACAAACTTATGTTTGTAAGTTATAAGAAAATGATAAAACGAAAACGAATGAGAAAAATTTTGCCATTTTTGTATCGATGCATTATCTAGTATGATTTTCAAAAGTTACTATGGGATTTGTGAAAATTGCTCGTTTTATTTTGTATTTTTTCATGATAAAATCGGAACAAATATTTATGTAACAGCAGTTACAAATGAATAGCAAGTCAGTAGTTGATTAAACTAACTTTAGTTATAAGACATATTGTATAAATATAACATTATTACAAACATATTGCAGGATTATATGTTATGTACTATTATATTTTTAATTATTATATCTATGGTTGTGTTAAAAAAATATATAAATTGTAGTTCTGGTGCAATTGTTGAAATTGACAAGGCCAAAATAATCAGAAAATATAATCATTGAACGAAAATTCAACAACATTTGAAGCTGTTGAGAGGCTTTCTAAATGTATGTTCATATTTCTGATATCCGATAGAACAACAATGACATTTTTGCTTATAATTAAAATCACATTGCCAGGCATTCATATATACCGATAATTCGAAAGTTTATAGTGCTTTACAAGATGAAAATTAGTGTCATCAAATGGTTAACCAACATTTTATTTAATTTTGACATTAACATATATACACAAAATATTAAAAGAGTACAGCATGGTTTATGCAGTGGAATACCAAAGTACGATATACACTAAAAACATAATAATCATTATATAGCTGAATTTCTTTCAAAAATATTGTTCTGGAGAACTTATTGACAATTTCTTTAATATAATAGCTCAATTACATCCTATAGATGAAGCTATTAAAAACAAATAATAAATATTTCCTTATACTTTATCTATAACATCTGTTCATTTTGTTTATAACATTGATTTATTAAATTTATTTATAATTAACAAGTACATAAATAATAAATAATAAGTAAATGAGTATTAAATGTTGATTCCTTCATATGTTTGTATATCATTCTATTCTATTTATTTTCATTTATAGCTTGTTTAAACAATTGCTGTCAACTTTTTACAGTAGATGGTGCTCAGAAGCATGAATTTGATAATATATATTAAAATCACAGTCATCCTAAGTTCTAAAAATCAAATCCCAATAATCTTCTAAAAAGAAATAATTGTTAAAATTTTACTTATGTTTTCTCAATAATTATAGTTTTATAATTATACATCTTACATTAATATAACAATGAATACATCGTATTCGTATATTGATAAGTAATATAATAGTCCATTACTGATTTAGTCACTGATTTTTGATACGTTATACTTATTTCTTTGCATGTTCTGCTAAGCTTGAAATTTTATGTCATTTATAAAACAAAGATCACTAATAATCTACATTGTTATATAATTATTGTTATATAATTAAATTTGTTAAATAACATATTTTGTAAACATTATACAAATATTTCATTGTATTTCATTTCAAAATAAAATACATGAAATAAATAGAAAATTTCCGCAATATAAGCCGTTAATGCTCAATGTAATATGTGTGTGTGTGTGTGTATGAGACATGCTAACCTATTCCTATTTCATTATCAATGAATCCAAAAACAATTATTTAGAAAACAATATAAAAAAACAATATTTTTCATCCATGAATTAATATTCTATATACATGACATATATATATATATATATATATAGGTACATATGATATACATACATACATGTATATATATATATATGTAATTATAATTTGATAATACATTGATAAAATTAAATATATACTGATTTATCTTAACTTAATACATTACATAAAATCAAGAATTAAAAATGTGATATAACTATTAAATAAGTTTTATTAAGTATAATATGTTTATTTTACCTACATATCAGCTTCTGTCTTAGGATCAAGCATTTCGTATTCACCATGAAGTATATCTGTAAAAAATAATTGTTCATATTTTATATATCTTGTAAAGCAGCAATCACTAATATATCAATTTGACAGATACAAATATTCGCACAATAGCATACTTACAATTTGACGTATGAATTTTATAGTTAGATAGTTTAATTAAATCATTAATAGGTAAATATTTCCTTCTTTTAGTACACACAAATGATAATGAACGTAATATAAATGTCATATTCAATATTATACAATATCTTGCACTATTAAAACAATCATATATACAATTTTGTTATTTGCAGATAAAAGCTTGACAGCATGGACTAAAGAATACGGAAATGGAACACAAGCTATAGCAGGACAACACGTTCGCGGCGGAGGGCCGCCATATTTGTTTCTTCTGTTGCGGTCCACTTAACGCTTCAATGCATTTGTAACATCAAGTAGACCGCTCAAAATAAAATTTAAGCCTGTGTTTACAATCTGATCTTAGGCCGATATTCATATTGTAACGTCCCTCCATATTAAAATTCCCTATCTTCTCACCAAAACTCACCATACCTTTTCTTACCCAATCAAATCCTTACCAGAGAGGAACCAGTACCGCGATTCTGTAACTCGTTATTGGAGTTAACGACAATTTCGTTATTGTTGCGCAGCTTTTCTACGGTATACAAAAGCTGCGCAACGATAACGAAAGTGTCGTTAACTCCAATAACGAGTTACAGAATCGCGGTACAGTGCTGCGATTTTGTAACTCGTTATTGGAGTTAACGACAGTTTCGTTATTGTTGCGCAGCTTTTCTACGGTATACAAAAACTGCGCAACGATAACGAAAGTGTCGTTAACTCCAATAACGAGTTACAGAATCGCGGTACAGTAGCGGGATTCTGTAACTCGTTATTGGAGTTAACGACAGTTTCGTTATTGTTGCGCAGCTTTTCTACGGTATACAAAAGCTGCGCAACAATAACGAAAGTGTCGTTAACTCCAATAACGAGTTACAGAATCCCGCTCCTGTAGCGGGATTCTGTAACTCGTTATTGGAGTTAACGACACTTTCGTTATTGTTGCGCAGCTTTTGTATACCGTAGAAAAGCTGCGCAACAATAACGAAACTGTCGTTAACTCCAATAACGAGTTACAGAATCGCACCACTGGAGCTGTATTCCGTACTCGCGTACCGATATTTGTCGGTGTCGTTAGCAGTATTGCGCAGCTTTTTCGTTATACGAAAAACCTGCGCAATGCCGCTAACGACATCGACAACTGTCGATATGCAGGTACGGAATACAGCCCCTGAGAGCAGCCAACACGGCGTTTTCGGCGACACCGATTTTTCGCACTGGAAATGGGTGCCATCTGCATCCATTTTGAGAGGGGAACTACGATGCTACATCCACTTTTAGGTCTCGGCGGTAAAACCTGCATCTGGTGGCTGTCCGTGCTACATCCACTTTTAGGCGGTTTATGTCCGTGCTACAACCATAATAGCGTACTTGACAAGCACGGTCTCGCGCATTGTTATGCATTTGTAACATAAATTAACATGTTAACATGTATAAAGAAAATAAGAATTGAGATTGTATTGTATTAATACCATGAAGATTATATACGATTTATATCGATACCCAGACAGCACATATGTCCAAAACTGGGACATAAGACATCTTTAAGACATCTTTAAGTCGTCTTTAAAATGTCTGAAAATAAGACATCTTTAAGTCGTCTTTAAGATGTCTGAAAATAAGACATCTTTAAGTCGTCTTTAAGATGTCTTAAAAACGTCTTATGTCCCAGTTTTGGACATTGTGCTGCTGGGTATATAAATATATGATAATAAGATGATATTTTATGTGTACCTAAAATTATTTTTCCGAAATATTTCAGCGTTACGTTAGTATTTATTTATACTCCGGCAGGCGTTTCTTAGCTCAGTTGTGTCCGTGGGTATGTGTTGCATTGAAAGTATGCGTGACGTACGTGTGCATATACGCACGCACACACACACCACGCGCGCGCGCGCGCGCGCGCACTCACACAAAACTGCTCCCGTCTATCTGTCTGAGGTCCCGCCTTCGCTCGGCTTGTTTTGACGAGCTAAGCGAGAGAGGGAGAGAGGGAGAGAGGGAGAGAGGGAGAGAGGAAGAGAGGGAGAGAGGGAGAGAGGGAGAGAAGGAGAGAGGGAGAGAGAGAGAGAGAGAAAAGGAATTCGAAAGTGTTCGCTCTATCTCGCTCTGATTTGCAACGTTGCCGAGATTGTGCTTCCTGACACACGGCCGAGACTGACGTTTCCCTTTCGGCGTGAATTCAACGAGATGATCAATAGCAATCAATTTCGATCAAACTCGTTATGTCGATAAATTTGCATGACAAATTAACATTGCACTTAAAGATACGACGTAGCATTGAAGCGTTTGCGAGAAAGTCGCGATTGAAAATTGCGAGTGCTCCATGAACCAAATGAAGGAGCAAGTTTCTCAAAGAGCGTGTGACTTGGTGGAAGTGCCCTAGACTCGCGGGGTTGAGATCGGTGGTTCGCATCTCCTTGGCGGTGGGCGTTATTTTTTCGCTAATCTTCTTTTTTTCATTTTTTAGGAAAATGCACGTGTTGCATACAACATACGTGTATCACAATCAATTTCTTTTCATTTTTTAAGAAAATGCACGTGTTGCATACAACATACGAGCATCGCAAGCATTGCACGTTTCGTCGATGACACTTCGTCTGACAAGTAATACTATCCAACTGATACTCACCGATTTGAATGAAACTTAACATACTTATTAAACACCGAAAAATATTAAATACGTATTTTTTTGTTTCGGCTAAATACGCTTTTTAGGGGTAGAAAGCACCCCTCAACTCCTGGAGTTGGAAACAGTTATGGCTAATTATTTCTGAAACGATACATCTTCTGAAAAAAGTGCTTAGGACCAAAGTTGTAGAGTTCAAAGTGAAGCACTTGATGGTGACTTTGAAGTCGACCTTGAGGTCGATTTTCAAGGTCATTTGAAAATAATTTCATGTATTTCAAAGGGAGAAGTTTACTTTTCATCCTGAGAATCGATAGAGCGTAAAATTTTACATTCGGGACGTTGGTGGTTTGTAAATAAAACAAGCCTCTGCAATTTAAAATTGTTCATTGATCCAACCAATTAAGGCAAGATCAGTCAATAATTCGATCAATGAAGGAATTGAAAATGAATTATTCATTCAAATAAGGCAAGATATGGTCGAGATTCAGCCAGTGAAGGTAAGATATGGTCGAGATCCAGCCAGTGAAGGCAAGATGTGAGCGAAATCCAACCAGTGAAGGCAAGATATGGTCGAGATCCAGCCAATGAAGGCAAGAAGTAATAAGTGATCAAGAAGTAATTTTGGAAAATGCTTGCTCAACGACAGTCGGGAAAATAATAATTGATCATGTCCGAATGAAATCCTAATACAAAATAAAGAGTGAAAGGTATTGTGGATAACTCCAGAGTAGCAATAAAAATTTAAAAAATTTGAAAATTTCTAATGTAGCATGAAGGTGACATTTTATGTTTTCTTATCTTTACTTCTATTCTGAAGTTACTTACAAAACTTTTTTCTCCTTCTTATTTTTTCTATAAATTTGCGCCTATTTTCCCATTACGTCAGGTTTTTTTCTTTTTTTAGGAAAATAACGCAACAAATCAATTCTGAAGACAGATTTAGTCAACGCATAAAATTACTGATTATAGATACAGGATGTGGTCAAAGTCCGGCAACGGGTAATTATTTCCAAATTTAATTGACCTTGAAAATCGATCTCAAGGTCGATTTCAAGATCGCCATCAAGTGCTTCACTTTGAATTCTACAACTTTGGTCCTAAGCACTTTTTCAGAAAATGTATCGTTCCAGAAATAATTAGCCATAACTGTTTCCACCTCCAGCAGTTGAGGGGTGCTTTCTACCCCTAAAAAGCGTATTTAGCCGAAACAAAAAACACATATTTAATATTAGGTGTGCAACTAAGTTCTCGCTGTTTTTTTGATGAAAATGCAACTTTATTGTGAAAAAATGGTTACAAATGAATCATTCAAAATATTGCCCATCGCTAGCGACAACTTTTTCCCATCTTTCTGGCAGAGCTCGAATACCGTCACGGTAGAAGTGTTCGTCTTCTGAGGCTATCCACGAATCAAGCCATTTTGAAATGTCTTCATATGAGCGGAACTGCTAATTAGCCAGACCATGTGCCATCGAACGGAACAAGTAATAATCGGACGGCGCAATATCTGGGGAATATGGCGGGTGGGGTAGGACTTCCCATTTAAGCGTTTCTAAGTAGGTTTTAACGGGTTTGGCAACGTGAGGTCGAGCGTTGTCATGCTGTAGAATCACTTTTTCGTGCCTCTGCTCGTATTGTGGCCGCTTTTCGCGCAGTACTCGGCTCAATCGCATCAATTGAGTTCGATACCGTTCCTCAGTGATGGTTTCGTTCGGTTTCAACAGCTCATAATAAATAACACCGCCCTGGTCCCACCCAATACACAGCAAAACCTTCGCAGCGTGAATATTCGGCCGAGCCGACGACGTAGAAGCATGACCGGGCAGTCCCCATGATTTTGTTCTCTTTGGGTTGCTGTAATGAATCCATTTTTCATCACCCGTAGCGATGAAGAAAACTCTTCCTTTTTTGCCGCTGGAGCAGTTGTTCACAGGCGAAAAAACGACGCTCAACGTCTCTTGGCTTCAAATCATAAGGAACCCAAGCTTCTTGTTTTTTAATCATTCCCAACGCATGCAATCGCTTGGAAATGGCTTGGCGGGTAACTCTTAATGCTGAAGCAAGCTCTTTTTGCGTTTGGCACGGATCCTCATCGAGCAATGCCTCCAATTCAGCATCTTCGAAGGTTTTTGGCCTTCCTTCACGCGAACGGTCGTCAACATCGAAATCACCGTCTTTGAAGCGGCGGAACCAATCACGGCACGTTGTTTCACTTAGAACAGCATCTCCGTAAACTTTTTGGAGTTCTCGATGCGCTTCAGCCGCCGTTTTCTTCGAATGAAAGAAGAAAAGTAACACTTCCCGCAAATGACGATTATTTGGCACAAAATCAGACATTTTCACACAACCAAAAGTATATGACGCAAAAACAAAATCACTAATGTGTCAAAGCGGTTTGTTTACCATATGTTTAAGCTTGGTTCATGACGTTTTGGTTATATCACAATCGACTAGCACTTACTACTGGAGTCATCTCTTGAAAAACAGCGGGAACTTAGTTGCGCACCTAATATTTTTCGGTGTTTAATAAGTATGTTAAGTTTCATTCAAATCGGTGAGTATCAGTTGGGTAGTGTTACTTGTGAGACCCCGCCCTCCACTCGACTTGTTTCGACGAGCCAAGCAAAAGAGAGACTTTTTTTACGAGGAGGAAATCCATCATGGATACCCCCCACCCTCGGGGAAGGGTGAGGGGTTATGCCGGACTCCTACCGGCTAAAACCTCCCCGGGTGGCGCTGCGAAGGGACTTGTCTCGGGGCCCCGTAACTGCGATCGGGTCCCCGAGTCCTGACGGTTTCACTGTCGTCTTCCCCGAGGGATGGAGAGTGGGGAGCGAGCCGAAGCTCCTCTTCAATCGCTGCTTCCTCTCCATCCCTCACGCTGCGCCTATGTGGCTGAGAAGGGGGAAGCTGACCAAGGGGTCTGCTTCAACCACCGTTCCCAGCCAGGCGGGGCGCCGCCTTGATGTTGTGTGACTAGATGGGCCATCTAGTCGCTCCATCGTTTGGAGGGCTGGTTGGGGGCCCGGGAATCCCCGGCCGGGTTCCCATCCTCCTGCCCGGCGGTTACGGGGGGAAAAATCTGATCTTCTAGCCGCCGGGCACGCGAGCCTATAAAAGGCAGAGGGGTTAACGACCCCTCCCTTCCTGCCCACTTTATGCGGGTCAAGGGGGAAGGGGGAAGGTGATTTATTAGTGACTTGTCACTTCACTCCCCCCCACCCTCATCCGACCCCTGTTTCGGGGATCACCAGGGGTTTGACCAGGGGGGCTTGTGATCAGCCCCCCGTCTTTTCCCTTCCATTCTAGCGGTTTGCGCTAAAGTGCAAGTCGCCGCCGTCTTCTTGGGTGGTGCCCCCCCCCCGCGTTTTGCCCTGCGTGGGGGCATTTAAGCAAAAGAGAGAAACAGAGAATGTGTTCGCTCCATCTCGCTCTGTCTCGACACGCAGCCGAGGCTGATGTTTGTCTTTCGGCGTGGATTCGACGAGGGGACGACCAATAGCAATCGATTTCGACTCGGTGCGTCGATAGACTTGCATGAATTAACATTGCATATATCAGGTGTAGTAAAAAGAAATCCATTATTTTTGCATGAAATTGAAGGCTTTAATTACCATAGTTAGAATGATCCGATTTAGGTTAAATATGCGCCGTTTTGTTCGATAACTTGTTGCCATTTTGAAGGTAATTTCATTATGCCTCTCTCATAGAAGCCCTCGTCCCTATTGGCAAAAAATTGAGACAGTCGATTTTCACAAGCCTCTCGTGAAGCGAATTTTTCACCAGCAAAATTGTTCGTCATGGACAGGAACAGATGGTAATCACTTGGTGCCAGGTCCGGACTATAAGGTGGATGCATAAGAACCTCCCAACCAAGCTCCCGGAGCTTCTGGCGAGTCACTATCGATGTGTGTGGCCTGGCGTTGTCCTGATGGAACACAATTCCTCTCCTATTGGCCAAAGCTGGCCGCTTCTGGGCGATTGCTTCCTTCAGACGGTCCAATTGTTGACAGTACAGTTCCGAGTTAAGAGTTTTGCCGTAGGGGAGCAGCTCATAGTAGATAATTCCCTGCCAATCCCACCAAACACACAGCAAAACCTTCCTAGCCGTCAATCCTGACTTGGCCACCGTTTCCGCCGGCTCACCGCGATTCAACCACGACCGTTTTCGCTTGACGTTGTCGTAAGTGATCCACTTTTCATCACCAGTGACCAACCGCTTCATGGTCGACCCAAATGGGTCGATTTTGTTGCGATTCAGCAGCGATTCGCAGATGAAAATTCGGTCCATGAGGTTTTTTTTCGTTAACTCGTATGGCACCCATACATCGAGCTTCTTTTTGTATCCAGCCTTATTCAAATGGTTCAAAACGGTTTTTTGTGCAATCTTTAGCTCTTGGGCAATCCAAACAGTGCTTACATGACGGTCGGACTCGACAATGTCCATGATTTTATCGATATTTTCGACAATTGGCCTTCCAGTGCGTGGTGCATCTTTGACATCGAAATTACCGGAACGGAATCGACGAAACCAAAATTGCGCGTGATTGGCTGTTACAGTATCAGGATCATAAACACTATTCACATTTTCAGCCGCCTGGCTTGCGTTTTCGCCTTTATCGAAGAAAAACTGTAAAATATAGCGTATTTTCTCTTTGCTAGTGTCCATCTTTGACGCGCGCTCAAACAAAACTGAGTCAACTAATCACAAAACTGTCACAAAAGTTTTTTTAGTACGAAATCTCATCTTTCTAACGCCATCTAGTGGAACCCGATCGGACTTATACAACGCGAGATACAGATAACAGATAAAGCCATCTATTGGAAAAATAATGGATTTCTTTTTACTACACCTGATAGATCGGCGTTACCTTTTTTCCATTTATTTTTATTTTATTTTTTTTTTTACGTGGGGAAATCCTCATGGACACCCTTGCTCCTTGCTGGGGTAGTGCCGGACTCTTACCGGCTAAAACCCCACGGTGACTTACCTCTGGCGCGATGTTTGGGAGGTTCCCCCGCGCCTATCCATATATAATTTTTCTTTTCGTAGGTCATATTAATTTTTTTTCTAAATACTAATTCGTTGAAGCAGAGAGAGAGAGAGAGAGAGAGAGAGAGAGAAAGTACACTACGGTCATAAATATATTCTATTTTATTAACTTATAATTATTATACTTTACTAATGATTAATACTTTTTATTATTTTATACTAATATTTGTACTTTATATTTAATAATACTTTATGCCTAATATACCTTCTACTAATGACTATTTTATTAATGATTATTTAGTTATAATTATAAATAATAATGTTTCCTTTTCCTGCTCTTCCACCTCTCCCACCCCTGCCTACTCTTCTTTGCCATCATCCTTGTTCTTGTCCTTGTTGTCCTTGTTCTTGTCCTTCTCCTTGTCCTCATCCGCGTCCTCTTCCTCGTCTCCGTCTTCGTCCTCGTCCTCGTCCTTGACCGCGTCCACATCCTCATCCTCTCATAAGGCTATTCATAAATGTTAGTAGCTGCTCTGACTGCAAAATAGAAAACGAAAATACATTAATATACAAGATTTACAATAATATATTAGGAGTACAAATAAGTTTTCGCCATTTGACAAAAGATGGCCCCACCAGAAGGTTATGTTGAAATTATTTTTTTTGGTCACGCAGGGAAAATCCATCATGGATACCCTCCGACCCTTGGGGGGGTTTAGGGGTTATGTCGGACTCTTACCGACTAAAACCCCTGCGGGATGTCTACCTATCGGACCGTGAGGAGGGGAGTTAGGGGAACTGCTCCCGCATTCCCTCCCCAACCCCCCGGCCCCAGGACTCCCTTTCGGGAGCCCCTCGCCACCTATGTACCGCGCCCTGTTCCACAGAGGGAATCCAGGGCGCGGTCCCCGGCGGGTTGTCCCGCCGGTTGGCCTTCTGGTGTCTTCGTTGCAGGAGAGAGGGGACATCCACCCTCCCTCCTTACTCCCCTGCTCAGTGGTCGGATTTGAAATACCTTGCCTTCAGTGGTCGGGTTTGAGACACCTTGCCTTCAGTGGTCGGGTTTGGAACACCTTGTCTTAAGTGGCCGGGTTTGAGACACCTTGCCTTCAGTGGTCGGGTTTGAAACACCTTGCCTTCAGTGGTCGGGTTTGAGACACCTTGTCTTAGGTGCCCGGGTTTGAGACACCTTGCCTTCAGTGGTCGGGTTCCGAGACGCTTTACTTTCAGTAGACTTCACGATCAGTGAAGTAACGTAAAACGCATAATTTTGAGAACAAGGTCAAGGTTGAAAACGTCATATCCGAACGTAAAATTGTTCTATCTTGACACTTTTAGGTCAAAAGTATGGATTTTCAGTCCTAAAAAGTCCGGTTTGACCTTAATAATAATCTTAACTCATGACTTTGAGAATAAAGGTAAGGTCACGGCTGAATGTCCCTCGTTGATTTCTACATTCTTATTCTTATGCGTGACATTGCTCCCTAGCAGGTACATTTTCGAAGATATTCCCGTTTTCAGCCTAAAACAAGCTTAGACCTTTATGTGACCTTCAGAGGTCAAACTTGGCAGTGTTCAAGGTCATATTCGAACGTAAAATTTTCCGCTCTTTTCATTTCTGGGGTCAAAAGTATGGGGTCCCATTTTAAAAAATTGACCTGACCTTGAAATGACATTCAAGATCATTGTCAAGGTCAAATCCAAGGTCATCGTCAGATAGTCAGAAAAAAATCATAAAAACCCAGTACTTCGCGTTTTTTCTAGGATTCATATTTTTCGAGTTATTCTGCTCTTCCAGGAGTTTTATAACACCCTGTATATAAGAACATGGAAAGTACATGCTGTGCGAATTCTTGTAGAAATTATTTCCGATAGCATATACATGGTGAATCTTACCCAGTAAAGAAGAAATCATTAATACAACGTTATTACAATGATATGACAGAACTTATAACGTTGTCTGTTAAATATATACATTGTATTTATTGGGATGTTGCCTACAATAGTAATATATTATTATAAACTTTCAATAAATGTTACGATTAATATTACGGTAATATTAATATAATATTATAGTATGGTTAAATTTTGACATTTTCTCAATGTTATCTCAATAACATTATGGTAACATTACAAAACTTTTAGTGCATCATTATTTATAACGTTATGGCACTTCCATTTTAATATTATTGAAACTTCGAAATCATGGTCAAAGTATATTCATAATGATGTTCTATACAACATTAAATATTACATACTGGACAACATTATAAGTTCTGTCATATCATTGTAACAATATTGTATTAATGATTTCTTGTTTACTGGGTCTCCAGCATCGGCGTCGTCAGGATCGTCACCGATGTTGTCGGCGTCGACGCCGTCGCTCTTGTCAATGTTTCCGGCGTCATCGTCACCGTCGTCGTTATCGTCGGCATCGTCTCCAACATCGGCGTCGTCAGGGTTGTCATTGACATTGTCGGCATCGGCGCCGTCGCTGTTTCCGGCGTCACCCTTGCCGTCATCGCTATTGTCGGCGTCGTCGACGTCGTCGTCATTGCCGTTGCTGTCGTCGTTGTCGACATCGTTACTGCTATAATTGAAACAAAATTTAATAAATGTAAAGTTGTACGAAGTAGGCACTCAACTTTATTACAGATTGTTTATATATAGGGTTTTTCAATTGGTGCGGGTTTAAACTTTAAAAACTTTAAACTTTAAAAACTTTAAACAGATATCTTTTTTAAATATTGGACACTATTAATAAACGTGTTAAATTTTTATAACACGATATCATTTTTACTTGTAAAAACTTATGTTATGTACAAATAATAATAACCTTTAAAAAGATATCTTTTTTTTAATATTGGGCACTATTAATAAACGTGTTAAATTTTTATAACACGGTATCATTTTTACTTGTAAAAACTTATGTTATGTACATAATATATATCTTAAAAAAAGGAATTTGAATTTGAGATTTCTAAAAATATTAAGTATACGATTTCTCAGTTGGTACTGTTTTAATATATCGCTTCTTTTGTATAATATAATATATATTATATATCTACATACCATATAACTGTCCTGCTACTGATACTTTAGTTGTTGGAACAGTAAATTTTACATGTAATTTTACATGTAATTACTTGTAAAAATGTATGCCAATATATATTAGGTTTCTCAGTTGGCGCTACTGTCTAATATATCACTTCTTTTGTACAGTAGAATAGTGTTGTAGAATTTTATTATAGTTATAAGTTTTACTTGTAAAAACTTATGTTATGTACACATAGCGCTTGTACTTGGCGCCTTTTTTTTACCTTTTTACTTAAAAAGGTAAGTTTTATATAAATTTTACTTGTAATATAAAGAGAATTTACAAGAACATTTTATTAAAATAAAAATGCTGTCATGTATGTATTAATCAAGTTTTAGTTCGATATAGTTTTTTAAAGTCAAATTAGATATCATTGACATTTCGTCAATTATAATAAGAATAACATCTTTGAATAAAAAAATATCAAAATATGTAGAATATATACACATTCGATATGTATATTCTATAGTGAAGGTTTATAATTTATTATAATACTATGTAAACTTAAATGAAACATTACACCGTATATATATAGAGAGAATTTACAAGTACATTTTATTATAATAAAAATGCTGTCATATATGTATTAAACAAGTTTTAGTTCGATAGTTTTTGGTGCAGCCGCGCCAAGATTTTTTGTATTAAATATTTTTTATTGCATTGTTATAGAAGAAGATAATTTGAATTTGAGATTTCTAAAAATATTAAGTTAAGTATACAATAATCATATATATATGTTAGGTTTCTCAGTTGGCGCTACTATTCTAATATATCACTTCTTTTGTACAGTAGAATAGTGTTGCAGAGTTTTACTATAGTTATAAGTTTTACTTATAAAAACTTATGTACACATATATACATTAAAAAAATAATTTGAGTTTGATACTTCTAAAAATAACACAATACGTGTTGCGCTTGTACTTGGCGCCTTTTTTTACCTTTTTGTTTCAAAAGGTAAGTTTTATATAAGTTTTACTTGTAAAATCGTATGTATTATCTTTAAGTTTTACTTGTAGAAGCCTGTTATGTACACATATATACCTTTGAAAAAAAAATTTGAATTTAAAATTTCTAAAAATAACACAATACATGTTGCACTTGTACTTGGCGCCTTTTTTTACCTTTTTGTTTAAAAAGTTAAGTTTTATAATAAATTTTACAATTGTAAAAACTTATGTTACGTACATTTTTTGTCGTTAGGTTTCTCTTGAATAATAATAACTTTTAAAAAGATATTTTTTTAAATATTGGATACTATTAATAAACGTGTTAAATTTTTTCCATGAAAAGAATACAAACATTTGTAGCGCCTCTGGGCCAGTGTTTTTTATTTGCGTATCATCAGCTTCAATCCAATCAGTTTTACCTTCTGTACATATACTTGTGTAATGACCGCTTGCAATGCACGATCCATGATGAAATATGGCATTCATTACTTTATACAACTGTCCTGCTGATACTTTAGTTGTTGGGACAGCACGCAGAGTAAATTTGTTTATACATATATTGTGACATGGCAGCCGGGAAGGTGCCCGTCCCACTGCGAACCCTCGGTCCTTACGCGAGGTTTGCGGGGGGGGGGGAACATATCGCGCGAAAATTGCGCGGGGAAGGAGCTGCCTTGCTCCCCCCGTATTAATTAATCTTAATGATAGGAGCGCGCAGGTGGAACGGTCCCGCGTCCCCGAGCTCTGTGCCCTTGGGCCTCCTGTGCCGCCCATCAAGACCGGAGGAACCAGAGGAAAGAAGAGGACGTAACCCTTCGACCGGACCGCCACCTCAGGTGAATGCTCCACCTTCTCTCCACCTTCTATCTAATCTTACCGATTCCCGTATCGCCTTAAAAGATTCTCGCTGCCGTTCCTGTTGTCCACAGGCCCGCAGGAATATCCGGCGAAGCTATCGTCGCTCCCGTGCTCGAAGCGTGATCGCCGGCTAAACAAAGCCGACCTAGGCGAAGAAACCACGGGAGCGCGAGCGAAAAAGAGAACGCGCAAGAGTGAGACCGAGCACCCGTCCCGCAGATCGAAAACAAAGATCCACGGAAGAATTCCCGTACGGAGAGATACAACGAGGAACGGAGAGAGACGGGTAGCGCGACACAACAAAGAAGAACGAATAGGCACTGTTTTTTGGAAGAAATAAAAGAGCGAACTCCCGTTTCGCTCTCTCTGTTATCTCTGGGATAGTTAGTCTATCGCAGGCTAATACGGAAAAAGTATCGCTTGGAGTATCGCTTAGATCGCTACGAAAAGGAGTGTCGTGCCGATAACGAACATAAAAGGATACCGTTTACCGGGAGTGAGAGGAGAAGTTTGGTGGAGTTCCACGCGCCCAGGGGGTTGCCGTTGGTGGCGGAGTTGCAGAGGAGCGAAGAGAGGAACGAGGTCGAAGGACCACGCCGCCGGGAGGTTCCCGAATTTGTAAGACCGTCCACCTGCTTTATTGTTTCGGTGTCCCGTGCGTACCGTGTCTCGATTTAGTTGTCGGCGAAGAGCAAATCTCGAAGTCGCGAGAGCGCATAGCAGAGTGTACCGTATCGAGGAGTCGGACCGTTCCGATTCCCGAAATAATAAAAAGTAAGATAATCAAAACGCGCATTGATATTCTTGTGTTTTCCCGACTGCGTCCCGGATTCCCGATCGAACCCCCCCGTCTACCGACTCTAAATACAGAGGAGCTACCGGTCCCGTCGAATTCGCGTGTCTTGGCCCTTTGGTGGTGTTCCGTTTCGTGTTGGTGATCGGTGCAGCCTGCTGCACCTGGCTGGCGCCGAACCTCTTTTGTGCGAGTGCAAACGGCCGACGGCAGTTTGCCGACGGCGAGCGGAATCGCATCGCAATATGTATACAGGGTATTAGAAAAGTCTAAAAACGGTCAAATATCTTGAAAACAGAATATTTCTGAGAAAAATGTTTCCAACCAAAGCTGTAGGGTTTTAAAAGTTCTATTGAATGATGATATCCGTTTGACCTTGCGTAAGGGGATCAAGGCGAGGTCAAGGCCAACATAATTTTTTTAAACACACACACAGGGGGGTGTGAAGTCCGACCATGCAACCTCCACGCGGTACATCCTGAATAATACTAATGCTGGCGGCACCGTAAATTCTAAAGCTCATAACTCAGACAATTCTCAACAAAAATAGGTCATCAAGTAGCATTTCGGAAACGTCTCGCTGTCATCTTTAACACTGTGTGATAAAAATGGGATATTCCATTAAAAAAAATCATATTGCATTGACCTCGCCTTGACTCCTCCACTCAAGGTCAACCGGATATGATCATTCAATAGAACTTTTAAAACCTTACAACTTTAGTTGGAAATATTTTTTTTAAAAATGTTTCGTTTTCGAGATATTTGACCGTTTCCAGACTTTTCTAACTAAAGTGATATGGTCCATTATCAATGATTTTATTAAAAAATTTTTCGAACGAAAGTTGCATGGCTTGAAGGACGACACATAACGGAAATGTGGACTTGACCTTGAGTGAAGTGACCTTGTCAAAATCAGGCCAAGGTCATTAATGTGTTTTTAAATAGAAACTACGATTTTTTATTACATATTCTTGTAGCTTATCTCGAGAGCATTCCAAAATACTCTAACAAAGTTACATTTCATCGAGTACTTTCCGAGTTATGAGACTTGGAACTTAAAGCAAGACCGATCACTGATCTGACCAATTAAGACAAGATCAATTCGAATATGTCTTTAGCCGTTAATAAATCTTGGCCTTAGAAGTACGAAATAAAACCTCCTTGCTTTTACTACAATATCCTGTAAGTTCGCAAATATTCTTCACACATACAAACATAGTATTATTATATTTTTATTGAGTAGTGCATTGAACAACTATAACATTGTTCTGAGAGTTTTCTCATTTAGAGCGACGAAACAAATATATTTTATGAATTTTTTTTCGCGCAGATAGAAAATTTCATTGTAATTGTTTTTGGAGATTATATAATACTGTATGAAAAATATTTATTAACTTACAGGATATTGTAATAAAAGCAAAGAGGTTTCATTTCGTACTTCTTGATTCTGTTACAATATTCTCTTATATTTCATACTACATCCTTGTATAACTTAAAATTATTCTTAAAATATTATTAAACAATTCAATAATCAAACCTATAAACCTGCCCGACTCCGCAAAATAATTAATAAAATATATTTCATTTTCTTGGCGCCGAATATTATAAATACAATATTACAAATAATATTACGAATGATATAAATTTTTACAAATAAAATTTGTAAAAATTTGTATTATTTGTAACATTATTATACAATTACAAATAAAATTACAAATAATAATATTACAAATAATATATATTACAAATAATATATTACAAATATTATTAATAATAAAATATTATTTGTAATAATTTCGGTGCGCCGAGTAGACAAAACTTTTCAGTATTGTCATAGAAAGGAAAGCAAAGAGAGACAGTCGCGCCTGCGATTCAGATTGTGGGTAAGAAAGAATTAAGCTCGCTCGCTGAGCGAGAACGAGAACGACAAGGAGGGAATGATATTCTCTCTCTCTCTCAGTTGCTCACTCGGCGCGTCGACAATTGCCGATCGCGTGGCTCATGCGGATTGACCGAGCTGGCTGTGTGCATATATGGGGGGGGGAGGAGAATCCTCGTGCAAGCCCGTCACCAAATTCGCATCACTGATACCAATGATATCAAAACCGAACAAGCTGCGGACAAGCGTAACTTGTAAATATCGGAAATCAATTGTTTATCAGCTCATAGACAATTAATATGACGAGATACCCGCGGAGACCCGTGTACTTCTCTTTCGTCTTTGCGTACAATTGCGATCAATAAAAAATTTTCACGAATTGTTCGGTTTTGACATCATTGGTATACGTGTGTATGTATGTGTGTATGTGTACACGTACACGTACAATTGCGATATATACTTATCATGTTAGCATTGATCATTTTTATTCACGCTAAAAGAAATAAGTATGATTATGTAAAGAATTTGTCTGCGTATTATTATACATTCTACATAGTTTTCCCTGTGATAGCAAAAATAACACACTTGAACAATCTCTACGCTCATATCACAAAGCCTGATCCACTGCGCTACTGAAGCAAATTGGTAATTCTTTTGCTATAACGACATTAACAGAAAAGACTAATCTTCAAACTGCATTTCTCAAAAACGTTTAAGATTTGCACCGTTTCTGAATAGCATTTGTTACTATTACATCAATATTATACTTTTCTAAAAGCAAAATCGCACGGTGATTTCATGGATGAAGATTCCTCTTGTGTGAGATATTAATTATTCATTCTTTATTAATGGGAAAAGATTTTCCTTTGGTTTAAATGTTCAAGAAAAGTTATTTGTTCTCTGAGAATCTTTCAATTTTTATGTTCGTGAAAAGTTTATAAAATTCGTAAAGAAAGAAAATTATTTTACTACCTACCTGTTCAAGAGTTGCGCATAAGAGATATTTTAACAAATCTGAATCTTAATCAGTCAACAAATTAAATTTCTCATTGAAAGAAGTATATGTAAGGTAAGCATAAGTAAGATAGGTATAAATAATAAATTAAATATTATTCTCTGAATATAATAATAAATAAATGTTTTTTTTCTTTAGCTGAATCATCGAAGTAAGTATTCTATTATAAATTGACTTTTCGAATTACAATATTAATTTGATTTTTCAGAGTATGCTTTCAAATTGACTCTTCGGAATACGCTATTAAATTGACTTTTCGGAGTACACTTTTAAATTGATTCTTCTGACTACACATTTTTTAGTTGACTCTGTGGAGTACATATTTTTTAATTAACTCTTCGGAGAGAAGAGAAGAGAAACATTTTATATTTTATTTAAAAAATCGTAATTTTTGCAAAAAACTGATTGATGAAGCAAAAATTAATTCACGACCTCAACGAAGATCTTAAAAAAATTACTGCAAGAAATGAAGTTGTTGTTATTATATACCATATTGTACAATATTAAAACATACGCGCAATAATTATCTATAATTTGCATATATGGGCGTTTATGTAATTATAAGTAATATAAAAGTCATGACAAATTAATGTGGCCGCGTGTTATCACTGTCGCGTCATTGCTAGAAATCGTCCGAACTCTCGAAATTATTTTCTTCCCGAATTATGAATATAAAACAACGTGGAAAGGAAAACAAGGGGGTGAAAATGGGGATGGCGACGTCTGCCGTACGATAACATCGCTGCTAGCTCGCTTCGTCGCGATTGTATATTCGCTGGTGGTGAGACAAAGACCGATTCTTCGTTTTTATCTAACTAATCTAGCTCGCTCGTGAACATAGCACAGAACAGAACCAAATAATTATGGACATAGCACGGAATAGTACCAACAAATCGTGGACATTGGCTTAGTAGTTCATATCCATGAAAAATGGACCCAGTTGGCGCTTAGAATCAGCCAACTTTTCCATAACGCTGTAAATGCAGCCATGCCCGCTCTCAGGCTTCTCTCTGGCGCTACCAATACGCGCATTGCTTATATCGGAATGATTTTCTATGCAGTCTATGCGCTTAATGTGCAACTCGGAACGCACCCCTAGAAATGATTAATTAATAGACGTCGATCCGATGTCTATTTGACTACTATTTCTCCCCTATATATATATATATATATATATGATTTGCAGTTCAAAACAGGAATTCATTAAAAATAACCCGCTATTATATGAATATTAAGTTTTTATGTGTAAGAAACACAAATTACTTGGCGTCTAGATTTAATATTCTTAGACGTTATTTTAGATTAGACGCCCCCGACGTCTAATAGACATCTCTCCGATCTTGCATTTCTCCCTGGGGCTATTATTTGGATGCCGGATATATCCAGCGTTAGGAGCGAAAGGGTTAAAAATACCTGCACAGAAACGTTATATTACTAGTTACATAATTTGATGAACAAGTCGTTATTTAATGTAATAAATATTATACTGACACATGACACGGAACAACATTATTTTTTAATTTGGTATAATAAGGAATCAATTTATCAATGTGGCTTTCTAAAAAGTGTCCCGAACAAACAGTTACGTATTTGGAGACTTCTTTATCTTTTAAATTTAATGCATTTAGCCATACATCTCATTTTCGTTTTATTTTCGGAAATCTGTATAAATAATTATATTTCACATTAACAACTATTACATATAAATATAAATTATAAATAAAAATTAATATGATGAATAAGAATCAATATATATCAATAATATTTAAATAATCTTAATTACTTGCAAGTGATAAGTAACCTCATTTTTCGAAGTGAATGTACTCGATAACGTGGTGTTTTATTTTTACCCTGTTTTATAACGCATTGAGATATTTTCAATTAAATACTTATGACTACAAGTATTTAATAAATAAGTATTAATTCACAATAATGTCCCATAAGATTATTCATGCTACTTACGTTTTTGTAATCTCCTCACTCTTGGTTCTTCTACCGTTTGAAATTTCCGTCTCGTTTCATGTGCGTAAAGTATGAAAAGTGCAACCAATTCTAATAAACCTAAATGTCCACCAATAAAAATATGTTCCTATGCAAGATGGCCGTGATTGAATCCTCCTTACGTCTTAAGAAGTAGGGTTTGTTAAGCTGGGGGGGGGACACACACTTTCCGTAACCGTAACCGTAAGGTAACCAATCGCGTTGCTCGATTCAGCAGTCCGTAATCGTAACCGTAAGGGTACGATCACATGGTACGGAAATGGACATGCGGGACGGACACAGATGTCTATACTATACTAGATTGCTAACTTCTCAAAAGAGAAGTATCCCGCCCATTTTCCGGTTCGGCCATGAAGACCGCCAAAACATGGCGGCGGTGTGTGTTTGTAGTGTGTATGTGAATACCCGATGCGTATGGAGTAGTGCGTGGTAGTGCGTATGTGACACCTGTGTGTCTACTACTATTTATGTTAGTAAAACTGCAAATCTACAAACGAGATAATGCCGAATAAGTATTGTAAATTTCAAAAATACGAACAAGAAAGAATATCATTTAAAGATGTGTGTATTAATAAGGTGTTGCTAATCTAAGTGTTTGGTAAAGGTTAAAATTAAATTGAATATATACAGTTCAAAATATATCAAAGTATTTGTATTAATATTTTTTACATACATATAAAGAATAAAATGCAACTTATGTGTTATTAAATAATATTAAGTTTGTAAATTGTGTCTGTTACTTGCAGGATTTCTATTTTTCGTTGTTTTTGTTACATTCTAATAATAATATTAATAATATTAACATAATATTAATAATATTAACAATATTTAATTGCAAGATAACCCTCACATATTATAAACCTCGAACATTTATTATATATAAATGTATTCTACTTACTTAAATAAGTGATATCCTTTTTTATTCGTATTATTGCAATTAACAATGCAACATATACTTGGCATTATCTCGTTTATATATTTGCAGTTTTACTAATATAAATAGCAGTAGATACGACACATCAGTGTAGACACATCAGGTATCACATACTTACAGTACAGCACTACTACACACGCATCGGATATTCACGTACGCACTACAAACACACACCGCCGCCATGTTTTGGCGGTCTTCATGGCCGAATCGGAAAATAGGCGGGACACAGCTCTTGTATAGGTCAAAGATCGAGGTTAGCAATTTAGTATAGTATAGACATCTGTGGGGACGGAGGATGCGTGATTCGAACAGCTAATCAACGTTCTCCCGTATTTTTCTATCCCGTATGGTTGCGTTTGACCTGTGCACATGATGCGTGAAAGACGCAAAAATGACGCATGTGGCAAAAATATAATTAAAAAAAATTATTTTTCCAAAATAATTTATTAATCTTATTCAAGTATAGATAGTATTTAAAATGTTAAACGAAACATTACTGCGATAGTAGTGAACTAATTTTATTTCAAATTACATTATTATAAAAATTGTTTTCAAATCTTGTGACGCATTTCGGTCATTTTCCCGTATCATGTGCACAGGGCACGCTAAAATCTTGCGTGATTCATTATTATGCATTATTATATATTGATTTATTCATAATTATTATTCATCATTATTGATGTCGAACTGCTGTGTGAAATGCTTGAGTTTTGTAGCAAGTATTAAAAATGGACAATAAATTACAAAAAACTATTAAACTGTTAATGAAATTTTATGTGAAAATTCCAATATTATCGTATCGTAAGGAGAAAGTAAAGTTAACGTTAACTAAATTATTTATATTGTATGAAATAATATCGAGAAAAAACATTGAAAGAAGAGAATGGGTCAGACCAATTTATACTGTAGAATAACGTCTTCTTCAAGGAGACAGTGACAATTTAATAACAATGTTAAGAACAACAGATTTATGATTGTATTTTAATTATTTAAGAATGTCGATTAATATCTTTGACAAACTGTTTGCCTTAGTGGGTCCTAAAATTGAAAAAGAATGTTATGTTAGGGAACCAATTCCTTCTCGAACAAGGCTTGAAGTTTGTATTAGATATTTAGCCAGTGGCGATAGCATGAAGTCTGCTGCATATGCCTTTAGACTTGCTTCAAACATAGTTTCTAGAATTGTGCATGAAACTTGTCATGAAATTTGGGATACATTAAAAGAGATAGTTATGCCTGTTCTAACTACAGAACAATAGGTAAAAATAGCACAAGATTTTGAAAAATTGTGGAATTTTCCTCATTGTATTGGAGCGATTGATGGAAGGCACATGGTAATAGAGGTAAATTCATTTTAACTTTCTTTTTATTTAAGATGCGTTGATACAAATATGTTATAAATACTTTATTAAATTTCAGGCTCCTCCGCATAGTGGTTCCACTTATTTTAATTATAAAAAAAACTCATAGCATCAATTTTACCGGTATTTCTGATGCACACTATCGCTTTATTTTGATTGACGTTGGAGCAGAAGGTCGTCAAAGCGATGGTGGAGTGTTTGCTAATAGCAGTATACGATCAAGATTACATGCAAACACTTTAAATATACCTCTGCCTGCTCCAGTTGGTGAAAAAGAGCTGCCGTATGTTTTGGTTGGCGACGAAGCATATCCTTTAGCATCGTATTTGATGCGACCTTACCCAAGAAGATTAGATCTTAATTTAAAGAAAAAAGTATACAATTATCGTCATAGCAGAGCAAGACGTATTATTGAAAATGCCTTTGGCATTTTAGTAGCAAGATGGAGAATTTTTCGTAGGTCTTTAAATACCTTCATTTCTAAAATAAACAAAATTATACTGGCTACAATATGTCTATATAATTTTATTATTACTAACGAAATGAAAAAGCGTTGTCAAGAAAGACATATTTGTGTTATAATGATAACGACAAGCAACAAACATCATACTTAAGAAATTCGCCAAAAAGAATTTGCCAAGATGTAACTTCACGTAATTTGTCAACAATTTATAGGAAAAGATTCGCTGATTATTTTTTCAATGAAGGTGCAGTCGAATGGCAATGAGAGAAGGCTGAAAATGACTTTTAATTTTCATTTTTTTGTATTATAATAAAGTTTTTTATTATTGTAATAAATTCTAAACTTTAAATTGTTTCATAATAATTATTAAAAATTAAACCATTAAAATTGAAAGAAACATAATAATAAAAATAATAATTTTAATTCATTTTCAAAAAATTAATTATTAAAAAGTTCTGCATTTTCTTCGGCTTTTATTGCATATTTCATTATTTTCGTTTGTAATAATCTAGAATCCTTGTAGGGTAATTTTCTTAAAATATCCCCTAGGTGAATCAGAAATCTTTCAGTACCATCAGGACGTGCGGTGGTTTCACTTAAAATTTTCATTAAATCTCTTTTAAACTCTGCATCGCTCGATTGAGTTTTTCGTCCTGAAATAAAAAAATTATTTACATTTAATTGCAATATAATATAAATAATATATTTTTCGGATGTTTAAAACAATATATTTGTATTTCTGAGTATATAAATCAATACAAACTAACGTTTCTCATTATGTGAAGAGACATTACTTCTATGAGACACATTTGTTCCTACTTGGGAACCATTTTCCCTTATATTATCTTCTTTAAACATTTGGCTTTGTGCAATACTGTTCTCATTTTCTACCGGTTCTTACATCGTAGAAGAGCAATCGGTGTTGACATTATCACTTACTAGTTCTGATTCTTTTGAAACATTACTAACAGAACTATAAAATTTTTAAAAACATTATTATTTCCAGATATATAAAATGTGCTTAATTATTGATGGAATATTATTTACGGCCTTGAAATTATAGAATCATTTAAAAATTGCATTTGATCAATAAAGCGAAAACCATCTCTTTTCTTGTCTGAAATTGGTGCTGCTGAACCACCTGGTGTGTATGCTGCCACCTTCTTCTTTGGTTTTATATAACAATCATGGAGGTTTCTCCAGCGCTTTTTTATATTTTCCACATCAAATTTTTCTACAATAATAAATATTAATATATAAATATTATTTTACAATAACTTTTTATAGAAGTTCATCAACATGTCTTGTATTGGGTGAGTGCAAAAGTTCGTGCGGAGTTTCAATAGATGGAGTTATAAGCGTCGTAAAGTGTTGTCATTAATACTTCCATCTACATATTATATAACGTTGGAAAGGTGACGTCTTCAGCTGTTATTAAAAAAAAAATCATTTGTTTTCATACAAACTGCTTCGAGAAATATCACTTTAAAAATGAGTATCGATAAGGTGCATTTACGGCATGTTATGCTTTACGAGTTTCGGAAGGGAATAAACGTTGCCGCAGCCGTAAAAAACATTCAGGATGTTTATCAGGATGAAGCACCAGCTAAACGAACTGTGGAAAAATGGTTTGCTAAATTTCGGCGCGGAGAATTTAACCTTGAAGACGAGCCACGCTCTGGTCGACCTTTTGACATTGATGACGATGTTTTGCGTACTTTAGTGCTCAATAATCCGCGAATTTCAACAGAAGAAGTTGCTACAGCACTAAACGTTGACCGATCAACCGCTTTTCGGCGTTTAAAAAAGATGGGATTCGATTTGAAGCTCGATATATGGGTGCCCCATTTGCTGACCGAGAAGAACAAAATCAAGCGAATTTCTGCAGCCGTTTCTTTACTCGGGCGGCTCAATAACGAGTAGTTTTTGAATCGACTAGTGACGGGCGATGAGAAATGGGTCCTCTACAACAATGTTCAGCGCAAATGGACATGGAAACAATCAGGTGAGCATGGTGACGCAATGCCAAAGGCCAGTTTGCACCCGATGAAGGTGATGCTCTCTGTTTGGTGGGATTGCAAGGGCATAATCTATTTCGAGCTTCTCCCCGCTGGCGAAACGATTGATTCGGACAAGTACTGTCGCCAATTAACCAATCTGAATCGAGAAATAAAAGAGAAACATACGATTTTGTCAAATCGCAAGGGAGTCGTCTTTCATCACGACAACGCCAGACCACACGTTTCGAAAAAGACGCTGCGCAAACTGAAGAGTCTGAAATGGGATGTCTTAACGCATCCACCGTATTCTCCTGATATCGCACCATCTGACTATCACTTGTTCCGGTCATTGCAAAATTATTTAAATGGAAAAAACTTTGACTCTTTGGAGGCCTTAAAAAACGGCGTCTCTTCGTTCTTCGAATCTAAACCGCACAGTTTTTATGATCGAGGCATCCGTATGCTGCCAGAACGTTGGGAAAAGATTATAGAAAACGATGGAGAATATATCATTGATTGAATAAAGATTTTTGTTTGCCTAATCACTGTGTGACTTTTACTCACAAACTCCGCACGAACTTTTGCACTCACCCAATACATCTAAATGATAAAGAAAATCACCTTTATTTAATATCAGTCTTTGTTTGGTTTCAGTATATACGAGGGTGGTCCGATAAGTACTTAGCCTACAAAAGAAAAACGAAAATTTTGGAAAAGTGGCGATTTATTTCTCAACATAGTCTCCTTTTAGCTTGATACACTTGACCCAGCGATGCTCCAACTTCTTTAACCCGTCTGAAAAATACGTTTTCTCGAGGTCTGCAAAGTAGGCCTCCGTGGCGGCGATGACCTCCTCATTCGACTCAAATTTCTGCCCGGCGAGTGACTTTTTCAAGTTTGGAAACAAAAAGAAGTCGCACGGGGCCAAATCTGGAGAATACGGTGGATGGGGCAGCAGTTCGTAGCCCAATTCGACCAATTTGACCATGGCGAGGGCGGAGGTGTGAGCGGTGCGTTGTCATGGTGGAAGAGCACTTTTTTCTTCGCCAAATGGGGCCGTTTTTTCTGCAATTCGGCGTCGAATCGGCCCAATAATTCGGCATAGTACAGCCCTGTGACCGTTTTGCCCTTCTCCAGGTAGTCGATGTAGATCACACCTTGTGAATCCCAGAAAACGGTGGCCATCACCTTTCCGGCCGATAGGACAGTCTTCGCCTTCTTCGGAGCACGTTCGCCGGGTGAAGTCCACTGTTTCGACTGTTCCTTGGTCTCTGGTGTATACCAGTGAATCCATATTTCGTCGACGGTCACAAAACGACGCAGAAACTCCTTCGGATTGCGCTTAAACAGCATCAAACACTGCTCTGAAGTGGTCTCACGGTTGCGCTTGTTGTCCGGAGTGAGCAAACGCGGCACCCATCGCGCCGACAGTTTTCTCATGCCCAAAATTTCATGCAGGATATGACCCATGCAGTTTTTTGAGATGCCTACTGTCTCAGCTATCTCGCGCACCTTCAATCGGCGGTCTGCCAATACGAGATCGTGGATTTTTGTCATGTTATCCTCCGTGGTAGCCGTTTTCGGGGCACCTGGGCGTGGCTCATCAAAAACCGACGTGCGACCACGTTGAAACTCCTTAAACCAATTTTTGACGGTCGCCATCGAAGGAGAAGAGTCACCGTACACAGCATCCAAGCGCTCTTTGATTTCGCTGCGCGATTTCCCTTCCAAAAACAAGAATCGAATCACTGACCGATATTGCTCTTTTTCCATTTTTCTAAAATCCGCGGACACGCCCGCTTCCACACGCGGTCAAAACAAAACTACGAGTCCGATTCGGCTGAAATTTCGACAGTAGCCGTCTACGAGAATGTACTACACGATAGTAAATTTCTCTGCGATAGTGGCGTCATCGGGCGGTGAGGCTAAGTACTTATCGGACCGCCCTCGTACATCTAAATCTACAAGACATTTCGATGAGTTTTATAAAAATAATATTATAAGTTAAGTAACAAAACTACTTTTATTAAAGAAAAATAGAAACCGATATGAAAATTGTGGTTACATAAAATATTTACCTTCCAATTCAAAATTTATTTCCAACCACGCTTCTTTGACAGATAAAGAACCTCTTTCCTTAACAGGGATTGTGACATTCCATAAACATGGCCTGGCTCGTACAGCTTCTATCAGTACTTCATCATATGCACTCCACAGTTTGTCCTGTTTATTCTTAACACATTTTTTTCCTGTTGAGTCATCTTCCACATAGTTTTCTGTTGAAGCTATATTAGTACGATAACAATTATTTACCATTCATTTTTTTATATAAATTATATAAGAAATATATTATATATCTTATTATATATTTTATATATTATATAAGAAATAAATATTGTTAAGAATGTAAACTAACCTCTAAATATAACATCTGCATTATTACAAAAATATTCTCTTTTGTCATATCAATATCAGCAAAGCATGAGTGATTTGTTACAATGAAATTTTCCTTTGGAAGAAAATAATTGCAATATTTGCACTTGTAACGCTTGGAAAAAAAATATTTTACTGTTTATTTCAATATTAACAAAATAATATCACTTTTTCCTTATACTTACATCACAACGCATTAAACTTTCATCCTCCATGATTTCCATGTTTATATTATAACTCTTATTATCAAAACTAACTTTTCTAGTTGAAGTTTCGACTACTTTTTCTGATGTATTCAAACTTTACGGTTATATGAGTATGGAGTATGCGGGAAAAGTTAGAAAAGTACGGGAAAGCGTTGATTGGCTGTTCGAATCACGCATCCTCCGTCCCGCATGTTCATTTCCGTACCATGTGATCGTACCCTAACCGTAACCATAAAGCATCGTCTACAATGGCTGCATCAGCAGACTCAACAGTTGGACAATATTACTAGATTTTCCATTGAATCTCGCTCCTGATTGGTCAATACTTCTGGGTCTATGAAGAATCTAAAAGAATGCTCCAATCACAGACAATAATCACTAAGCGCTCTCTGATCACTTTGTTCTACTGAACGCGGCCAATGGCAGTAAGCAGTAAGAAGTAAGCGTAAGCGGTAAGTAATAAACCAATCACAGTCGATTATGACACAAATAATCAACTGTGGTTGGTCCATTTTTTACTGTTCACGCTTACTTCTTACTGCTTACTGCCATTGTAGACGACGCTTAAGGGTGAAATCAGATGGACGCGGAAAGCGGAGAGCGGAGTAGAAAGGCGTAAAAGAGCCATCCAATCAGAATCAATCTGGGTTATCCGCCTCCGTCAATTGCAATTCGCTCTGTTCACATGAAGCAGAAAATTAAGGAATTGGCTTAAGCGGAACTGACTTTATTACACAATTTTATCAAATGTTTACAATTTCTATATTTGTAAAGAGCAAATTCAATGAAAATATTAATATATGTAACAGTTTATGTTAAGTATTAACTACACCGATAAATTTGAAAAATATTTTATGTGTTACGCTGTGGTAATTACGCCTATTTTTCCACTCTATGTGAACAGAGGACATTCGAAATCCGCGCGTATCGTTATGAATTGTTTATCAACAGTCCGCAGTAGATGTAGTCTTGTATATAATTTTCTGCAGAAAACAGTTTATTTGTTACAAGATTGCTTGCTTTTTAAGTTGCTTACTTAAACTTTGTTTAAATAAAATACACTCAAACGCAAAAAACCCGGTACACTAAAAATTTGGGAAAAAATTACAAAATTTCAAATGATCATAACTTGGTAAATAATGAAGGTACAAATATGCGCAGAAATGCAAAATGAAGCTTGAAACGTCCTCTTTAAGAATATCTGAATGGCAATTATGCTCGGCCATTTTTTTCAAAATGGTGGATGATAAAGTGAGAGGATGCAAAATTGATAATCAAAGGTCCGTGTTTGCGATGGTGCATGGTGTGCATCAGGTATCGCAGCGTAATGGGACCAAATGCATATGAAAGTATAGAGTGTTATCTTTAAAATGCTACTTTACCGAGCTCGATGTGATCATTTTTCACTGAGTTGTTCCAAATTTTGCTAAAAATGCGGTTTTCTTGTTAAATTTGCATAATTCAATGAATAAGTATCGCATCAGGCTCTATAACGAAGTATTTTAAAGAAAACATTCTATACTTTTAGGTACTTTTCGTCCCATTGAGCTGCGACACTTACTTTGCTCCATGCGCCGTCGCACGCTCGAACCTTTTTTTAGCAACTTTTCATGTTCTCCTTTTTATCACCTGCCATTTTGAAAAAATATCGTTGCGCACAATTTCGATAGATCTTTCGAAAAGTACGGTTTCAAAGCTTTCAAACCGTTTTTAAAATTTGCTGCTAGGATATTTAGGTGTCGAGATATTCAATTTCGAATTTGCAACAAAAGTCGATTCAGCGAGGCTTAAGGGGCTAAGAGGCTCTGCGGTTCGTTTGGCTCTTTCATAATTTCAATAGCTGTGTTCATGTTTCTCTATATAATAATTTACATAACCTGCACAATATATTCAATGATTTGCATTTATTATTTTGAAAGCCAGGGAAATGAAAGTAAAATTCAATTTAGGTTCTTCATTTTGCGTAATCGATATTACGTAATAAAGATGAATTGTATTTTAGGATACCGCTGTCATTAGCTCAAATTATGGTTGTAAGTCTTCCCAATATAAATCGCATGGAGTTTTACTGGTAGGAAAAGTCCCATTGTATGTAGTGTGTGTGTGTGTGTTTGTATACCACAAGGATAAGGACCCCGTGGTTCGTCAGCTCCACAGTATTTCAAGATTTCACACCCTCCTTGTAGTGTGTGTGTGTGTGTGTGTGTGTGTGTGTGTGTGTGTGTGTGTGTGTGTGGTGTTACAGCAGAGATAAGGACCCCGCAGTTCGTCACTCCTGCAGTAATTAATGACTCCAAACCCTCTCTGCTGTGTGTGTGGTGTGTGTGTACTAATAGTGGGTATGACTGCCTCGTGCGCGTATTACCTCATTCATACGATCAAGCATACTCCTTATTAGTCTTTTAATTTCATCCTGCGTAATTGTATTCCATTCGTTTTCGAGAATTATTCGCAGTTCTCGCAGTGACTGAGGAGCAGGTACGTGATTTCGTACTTTCCTGCCGAGGTTGTCCCATAAGTGTTCGATTGGATTTAAATCTGGACTATTTGCTGGCCAATCGAGTCGATTTATGCCAACTTCATCGAAGAAATCAAGCACTCTTCTCGCAGTGTGTGGTCGAGCATTACAAGATTATTACTACATTCTTGCATAAACAAGAAGTTCTCTCCGATGAAGGGTGCGTACGGAACAACATACGGAATGAGTATGTCTTCCACGTATACATCTGCGTTCATATTCTTGTCAAAAAAGTGCAGATCTGTATGAGCATTAGCTGAAATTCCTGCCCAAATCATTACAGAGCCTCCATTGTAGCTATGCCTCTCACTTACCGTACAGTCTGCAAATCGTTCTCCACCGCGACGATAAACTCGTTCTCGTCCATCTGGAAAATAGGCACAAAAACGAGATTCATCGCTAAAGAGTACTTTGCTCCAGTCTGCGTAAGTCCAGTCTCTATGCTCAACTGCAAAATTGAGTCGAGCTACGCGATGGTGACATTTAAACAAAGGTACAGCTGCTGGCCTGTGCGAAAGCAGATTTTGTTCCTTTAATCTTCTCCGAACGGTGTTAACGGATACATTAATGTTGCGGACAACCCTTAAATTGTTTCTAATTTGAACAGATGTTCGATGTCTGTCTCTTAACGAATTTGAAACAATAAATCGGTCATCATTGTGATTGGTACATCGAGGACGTCCCGAACCAGGCCTTCTATGGAAAGAATTGGTTTGTAAGTACCTGGCATAAGCACGTTGAACAGTTGACACTGACAAATCAAGTGCCTGAGCAACGTACCTTCGACTTCTGCCATCTTCAATTAAAGCAATAACTTGAGCAGCCAGAACGTAAGCCCGGCGTACTGACAAACTCGCGAAGTCCAGCGTACAAGAGATAGTGCCACTATCGGCGGTGGACCGTACGAAGGCCAAAAGCTGTACGAAGGCAATCTCTGATCGTCTCCGCGGGCACTCTTATATGCCCTGGGCAGCTCGAACTCGCATGCGAGCCGAGGGGCTCGCGCGCGCGAAAACCCAGATCGCCGCATCGCGGCGGCTCCGTGGACTAGGAGCGCCAGGGAATTTCGACGTTCAGGTGGCGTCCAGCGACTCGGCATCCCGCGCGCCGGATCACCGCGAACTCAGGCGCGATCCTGAACTGCATATTCAAGCTGTGTACCATAATGGCCAATCGTACGGAGAAGGTAGAGAGCTAGGGACAGCTTCGCGAACTAAAGTGTATACTACAGTGATCATGCGTAACTGAAGGATAAAGAATGATAACTTTTGATAAAAATTAAATTTCCAATTCGCAAAATTGTGTAAATTATTGTATAGAAAATAATGAACGCGGCTATTGAAATTATGAAAGAGCCAAACGAACCGCAGAGCCTCTTAGCCCCTTAAGCCTCGCTGAATCGACATTCGTTGCAAATTCGAAATTGAATATCTCGACACCTAAATATCCTAGCAGCAAATTTCAAAAACGATTTGAAAGTTTTGAAACCGTACTTTTCGAAAGATCTATCGAAATTGTGCGCAACGATATTTTTTCAAAATGGCGGGTGATAAAAAGGAGAATATGAAAAGTTGCTAAAAAAGGTTCGAGCGTGCGACGGCGCATGGAGCAAAGTAAGTGTCGCAGCTCAATGGGACGAAAAGTACCCAAAAGTATAGAATGTTTTCTTTAAAATACTTCGTTATAGAGCTTGATGCGATACTTATTCACTGAATTATGCAAATTTAACAAGAAAACCGCATTTTTAGCAAAATTTGGAACAACTCAGTGAAAAATGATCACATCGAGCTCGGTGAAGTAGCATTTTAAAGATAACACTCTATACTTTCATGTGCATTTGGTCCCATTACGCTGCGATACCTGATGCACACCATGCACCATCGCAAACACGGACCTTTGATTATCAATTTTGCATCCTCTCACTTTATCATCCGCCATTTTGAAAAAAATGGCCGAGCATAATTGCCATTCAGATATTCTTAAAGAGGACGTTTCAAGCTTCATTTTGCATTTCTGCGCATATTTGTATCTTCATTATTTACCAAGTTATGATCATTTGAAATTTTGTAATTTTTTCCCAAATTTTTAGTGTACCGGGTTTTTTGCGTTTGAGTGTATATGTTCTGAAAAAATTTTGGAAAATATTATATTATTTATTT